ACCACACCCCACCTCACCTCAACTCACCACACCCCACCCCACCTCACCTCAACTCACCCCGCCCCACCCCACCTCACCTCAACTAACCCTCCTCCAACCAACAGTGCATGTACCCAGTCCGGAACGGCCAGGTGGTCCCCAACTCCTCCCCCACCACCTGTTTCTGCGTGGACGCCTTCGGCCAGAAGATCGAGGGGTTCGGCCCCAACCCTATGCTGTGCGGGGTCAAACCTTTCACCTGCCCCGTCCTGGACAGCGGCGAGTACGTGTGGGAGCAGACGTGTGACTCCGACGAGCACTGCGAGGGGGGGAACAAGTGCTGTCCCGTCGGGAACCGGATGACGTGCGCCGAGCCCGTGGATACCTCCAAGCTGGTCACAACGGTCGACAGGATCTTGTCGCAGCCAGATTTTTGTGACAAGTACGGCCGCTACGTGTGTGAAGGTAAGGGGGTGCTCCGGTCCAGTATTATTTCATTTTACAATTTTTAACATTTTGTTATTTTTTTTTTTTGGGGGGGGGGGGTTTCTGGGTTTAAAAAAATGTTATCCCAAATTTCAAAGGTAGGCAGCGACATGCATACATTGAGATATGGAAACTACATGTAGTGTTTCTGCTTTGAGCATGATTTTTTGAATGTGAAATAACATGGCAGGCTTTTCTGTTGTCAGAAATAAATTATTAAAGAGTTGAACCCCGACCTTGTCACATTTTCACATTTCACATTTCACATTTCACATTTCACATTTTCACCATATCACATTTCACTTTTTGTCACATTTCACATTTTCACATTTCACATTTTCACATTTCGCATTTCCCATTTTCCCATTTCACATTTCACATTTTCACATTTTCACATTTCCCATTTTCCCATTTCCCATTTCCCATTCCACAGACTCCCTGGAGTGCCCGGACAAAGTCCAAGAGCATGAACAACGCATGGAGATGTTACGCGACGCCTACCAGCGGATCAAGAGGCGCGAGGAGATTCCCAGGCTCGTCTTGACCACGCTTGACCGCATGCTGGAGGTCAACCAGACCTGGGTGCCCAAGTGCGCCGCCGACTCGGACCGCTTCGCTCCCAGACAGGTCAGTGGGCGGTTGGCGGGGACTCTGATTTGGTTTGATCCTCATTAAAATTTCCTATCAAACGTCTATCGTCCGTATTTTGTCTCCTTCTTTTATTATTATTATTATCTGTATGTTATTCTCGAATAGTAAATCTCCCTCCAGGGCAGTGCCACTGACTGAAGTGTCTTTAGGCCATTCCCAAAGGGGGGACATTTCTCGTTTAAGCACAGACAAATTGTAAATGGGCTGATTCATCATGTCACGCTCATAACTGTGCCTGAACTACAACAGGGAACTGCTGCTTTTTCTTTCTTAATCCTTACTATTGTCATTTCCTCTACTTCTTTTGTATGTTTGTCATTCTCTTGTGACTTGCTAATTCCGGGGTGCCTTGATAGTCGAAGCAGACCTTGTGCTGTTGAAGCTAGAGAGGTGAGCAGAATAAATCGGATTCCCTGTAAAGACTTCTCTGTTGACACCCACCGCTTGGCACTCATATGACCATATGCTGTTGCGAGCGCCGTAAAACCCTCTACTATAAAAAAAAACCCACCCCCAAAACAGGTCAGTGGGTGGTTGGCATGGACTCTGGTTTGGTTTAATCTTCATTAAAATTTCCTGTCAAACGTCTATCGTCTTTATTTGGTCTC